ATATAAACAAACACCAACATAAAAAATGGCCATCAACCCATTGTTTCTCTAACTGAGAAGACATTGATTACATAATAAATGTCTCTGGTGGATGTCACAGTTCTGCTGGGGTGTAAACAGTTTGTCAAGGAAACAAAATGGGATTTTTTTAAAGAAGGAAAACAAAGAACTAAACAATAAAGCAAAACAAACAAAAATAAACTGTTTTATGTTAAAGGCTTCCAAGAGCAGTGGGCATAGAATACAAAGTTCCTGAGCCCTCAGCAAGCATTAAGATACTTCTTAATACAATGCTTCTGCTTGACTTTACAAAATCTTTACTTTTACCAGCAAATAGGACTTCTTCACTCGTACCACTTTTGATGTCAGATTTATTCATGTTTAACACATTTCAGAAAGTCATTGCTGTAGTTTGTCTTTCACACACGAATAATTATGATGAAACAGTAAAAACATGAATGGTCCTGTGTTCCTTGACATAATCCCCTGGGTTTGTTTGGCTTTCAGGTTTGTTTGTGCAGAACTTAAGGGGAAAAGGGTTCAGAGCTGTACTGACTTGGCTATGTAGCCCTGTTTGTTGCTGTGCAGCCACATTTGCAGGTCCTCTCCTTAATATCAGCCTTACAGGTCTTTCTTATATTTTAGAAACTTTGCTTAACTTCAGACTTCACTCTCTACACTGGAGAAATGGGCTGACCCCCTTCGTGAGCATAGGCTCTTGGCTTTGAGGGGTAAATGGGGAGACTGAGGAAACCTCTGGGGTTGGGGTACAGAGCGCAGTCTCTGGTACTGCAGTTTGGCACTTGCCGAAGCCATTGAAGAGGCTTGGGGTGCACCCGGTGTGGAGGAGACCACAGAGGGAGAAGATACAGAAGAGGAAGAAGTAGGGGGAGGAGCATGAATAGAGTGAGATGAAGATGGAGGAGCTGGAAGGGCAGGAAGTGGGGATGGCAAATTTGGAATAAGAGAAGAAGGTGGGGATGGTTGTCTTCCTCGATCTCGATCTCTGTCTGTTCTTTGTGTCCGTTGCTGAATACTGAGGTTGGACTGGCTTCCAGATTTAGAAAGGTTGCGTGATCGGTCAGGTTTGGATGATAATGAGGAGTCATGTTTGGGCTTTAAGGGACCACCAAAATTTTGGCAGTGGGGATACAGCTCTTCCTGGCTCCGGGAAGTTACACGGGCCCATTTAGCTGAGTGTGGATGTTGTCGAGAGGATTGACAGGAGGAACAAGATGTTTGACCCCTTCCTTTATCCTTTGGCTTCCGTTTACTCCTCTTCTCATCTTGTATGTGAAGCTTGTCCACTGACCAGTATCGTCGAGGAGGAGGTGGTGTAAGAGGAGGTGGGGGCCAGTGTGAACCTGATCCCCACCCTCTTTCTCCTCCAATTGCACTAGAACCCCAATCTGTCTCTGTTGTTGCCCACCTTTCTCCTCGTTCTAGGAAGAGATCGTCTCGGCTGTTGATGGTTCCAGCTTTATCCCTGGAGGGATACGTACTGAAAAACCAACCTCCTCCTCCAATTCCACCCACGGCCCTACCTTCATGATCCTCCCAGTACCTCTCAAATTTCCCAAATTCTCCTGAAGAACCATCATCATCAGAATATATCCCAACCACCTTGTCACGTTCTCGCTCGTCATCTGACATAGTCCTACCTCCTCTGTGCCTTTTCCCATGCTCTGATTTCCTCCTCTCTGGTTCAGAATCATCCTCTCCACCCTCTACTTCAGACTCCCACTCATGGAAGGACAGCCCTTCTTTGCAGTGCATCTCACTACGTTCATTTCGTCCCAACAATGGCCTCTTCTCTCCTTCCATGCATACAGCATCTCTGTCTGAACTCTTACTTTTTCTTCTTTTAGAAGAAACAGGTAACAAGGGCAAAAAGGCAGATGGAATGTTATCAGAAGGATTGCCTCCACCCCAGAACTTGACAGATGTAGAAGGCTTTCCACCAGAGCTATGATGGTGCTTGCTGTTTCTTCGCCTGTGGTGTCTATCCTTTTCTCTGCTCTCTTCACCATCATCTCTTTTATTCTCATCTCTTTCTTTTCTTTCATCTTCACCTGGTATGTTCCATCCATAGCTTCGGATTGAGCTTTCACTCTTTTTCCGAAACGACTCTCGCCTTGAAGGTGGATAAGGTGGGAACTCTGGCATTTCCGATTTGCCTTCCTCTCTTTTCTCAGGATCTCCACTTTCCAACTCTGATCTTTTTCGTTCACTCTTCCTTATCTTATCATCTTTTTTCCTCTTCTTCTTTGTTTTACGACGCTTCCGTTCCCTTTCTCTCTCCCGCTCCTCTCTCTTCTTTTTCTTTCGACCTTTCTTCCTCCTCTTTCTCTCACGCTCCCTTTCTTTGTGTTGTCTTTTCTCCTCTCTTCCCAAGGCTGCATTTACTTTATTTGTTGTTCCTCCCCTCCCACACTCTCTGTCACCCCATGATGCCCACCACTCCTGCAATTGGGCCAGTTGACTGCTGGTCCTCTCTCTACCATAACTTTTCTGTGGATGTGGTTTTCGTGGTGGTATTGGCGGAGGTGGAGGGCTGCATGGTAGTGAGCGAGAAGACATGCGTCGTGAGCGAATCTTCTTCCGTGACCCAAGAAGGAGGCTAGACTCCTCTGTGAGAAGGTCTGAGTCATATACATCATCTATCATAAAATCTCTATCACCTGCACGATAACAGAAACTCAGTGAAGAGTTATAAGAGCTGTCACTGGAGCAAGAGGATGGAGAATTTGATCGAGAAAGTGACCCAGAGGATGAAGAGGAAGAGGATGAGGAGGAGGAAGAGGAAGCAGACGAGGCACTGGAGCAGGATGAGTAGAAACGACATGGGGAAGAAGGAGTGGTAGGGGTACGTGTTGGAGAAGAAAGAGGGACTGGTAGAGGAGGAGGTGGAGGCGGGCGACGTCCTCTTCTTCCAGCGCCATCACTTACTCCATACCTCCCACCTCCTCGCCTTCCTAGAGGAAGTATATTCTCATACAGAGGACCTCCTGAGCTTTTTCTTCTTGCCTGAGCAAGGCTTGCTCGTCGCCAGAATGGAGGTCTTCGTGGAGAAGATGGGATTGGTGGAGGAGGTTTCGAGATTAAGTGGACTTGTCCTTGATGAGGACCTTTAGGAGGCAGCCTTGGTATCCCTGGAGCTTTAAAGCCTCTAGAAGTGGCTTTGGGAGTCTGCTGAGGGCCTCCAGCTTGTTGGTCCAAATTAGCCCCCAGCCCCTCTGGATCTATAGGACCATAATAGCGCTTATATTCATCTAGCCCTGTGTCGCCACTACCTCCTACTCCTCCTGTCACTCCTCCTTGTAAACTCCAGTGCATTCCAAGACTGTGATGAAACTGCTGCTGGGTCTGTAGATCAGTGATCCCTCCAGCAATCCCCCCAATACCTACTCCTCCACTGCTACTTCCGCTCATGACCTTTTCTGGTTTTGGCCTGTTCCAGCGATCAACCACAGCCAGTCTGCGGTCATGATGAGGCAAAAAGGTAGAACAGGGCATGGGACCTTCCAATAATGGGCTGTTGGAGGGACCCAGAGCCATTGCTGAATGTCCTGTAGCTGGTGGTGATCCAGGTAGCATAGAGGTGTAGGTCTGCCCTTGTTGCTGTTGATGGTGCTTAGGTTGTTGCTGCTGCACCATGGCAATGGCAGTTGTGTTGTTCACTGTGGCTGTAACAAGGTGTTGTTGTTGTACAGACGGCATGGAAGTCACAGTGTGGTACTGGGGCAAAGAACTTTTGGTCCCTCCTGGTGTTGTCTCATCCTCAAACTGACAGCAACTATACATTCCCTGAGTAAAAAAAAAACAACAACAACAAAGACTATAATTAGATCAGAATGCAGTCGCAAATGAAACAAACAAACAAAATGAACAAAAAATAGAGCGTGTCGAGTTTATATGTTCCAACTACCCTCACGGTCTTGTTTGTGAGTTTGTTTTCTGCTTTTTTTTTTTTTTTGTGGAATTGTGGCTGTTTAAAATTCTTAGACACACTTCACTCTTTTTAAGCAATTCTTTTTGTTCCTTTCATTAATTTAATCAAAGTTTTTGTGTTGTTTCTAAACTTTCTTGATTCACATGATATTGAATTCTTATGGGACTCCTTTATAGTACAAAAAAACAAAACAATGATGAAGACAGTACAGAAGTACATAAGTAAACTATTTGCCCCTCCCATCAAATAATTTGTGTTTTATATCTAAAGCAAAATAATTCATTTGAAAACTTTGTCATAGATCTTTATCCACATATTCACTGATTTTATCATTTTTTTATACATTTAAAACCTTATAGAGAAGAATTGAGACTCAATTAGCAACACCAAATAAAAGTAAAACACTATTCTTCATTTAATGGTGCACAAAGGGGATATGGCTTTTTGAAGTTTTACATCAAATTTGTCACGTTTTTATTGTAAAATTTAGGACTTTAATTATTTAGTCATATAATAGAACTTTAATTACTTTCTTCTTCTAGAATTGTGGATGCATTCTCATCTACCTTCCAGCTGTGCTCGAGTGCCTGACCACTGAGATCCTGGAACTAGCAGGAAACATGGCTCATGACAGCAGAAGGACAGGATCGTCCCTTGGCACCTACAGTTGGCTGTCCGCAGCGACGAGGAGCTCGGCAGACTGCTGGAAGGAGTGGCCATCTCTCTGGGAGGAGTTTTGCCCGGCATTCGGGCGGTCCTACAGCCCGGGGGAACCTAGAGGCCAGCCAAGTATTTGTGGACGAATCGGACGGCATCTGCAGCCACTTTTTTAGGATCCACTGTGGGATGGACCTTTAAAAGAAATCGTTCCTGTCTACAGCCATCAGTATCTATAACATCTCTTAATGAAATGAGGATAACGAGTTACAACAAAAAATAATTTCCCTTTGGGATTAATAAAGTATTTTTTAATTGAATGTTCATTTTCTCCATTTATTATTTCTCTTACAAGCACTAATCTACGTATTTCTGTCTACAAAAGCTATGTTGGCAATAAAATAAAAAAGCTTCACAACGGCCAGGTGATCACATTGTACAAGACTCATTGGGCTTTCAATGGAGGATAAATCATGTTCCTCATTCTGATTTTATCTGCTTCTCCCTGCTGAATGCCAGAGAGAAGTATCCCATCAAAAGTGGCATCTAATGTGCTTTTGTGTAATCCATATCTTAATTGTGGCTAGAATACATTTATTCATCTGTCTTTATATATAAACTTGAGTTTTTGTTGGAGGAACAAAAAAAAAAAGCTCACAGGCAATCAGTAAGGGTTGACAGTTTCAACAGATGAGGAAAAATAAACAAAATTTTAGGTCAATCAAACCATTTACTCTTGCAGAAATATGTTTGTCAGTGATCTGAAAGTACTCTATAATGAATTTTAGTTAGTGTTTACCGATTAGTTCCACTTTTTCCATTTCAAGGGTGTGCAAAATGGTGAGTTTTGGTGGTTTAGTTACGTAAATGAAAATTTAAAGACTCATGACTTTTGCCGTCCTTAATTTAGGCTTCACCACTTCCTGGCAGAGGATTTGGGCAATTAAATAGATGAAATTTTATCTACATAAGATGGATTATTGACACGTAGGACCTCCCAAATATTGCAAATGTAAATCACATATTTAATAAATTCACCTCTTACGTTTTTCTATATAATTTATAACTGAATGACTCCCTTGCTACAGCTTAATATTACTATATTATAATAAGATAAACAAATAATGTGAATATGTTGACTAAAATATGTGCTAATTAAAAAGTTATATAGGTCAGGAGAAATGTTTTTTAGCACTTGTCTTTACATTAGAGTAACAATATAAAAGTTCACAAAACATAAAATGTTTGCCCTATAAACTAATTTTTTTGTAAAACCAAAACCATTATATAAAGCAAACTAGTTTTTTTTTTTTTTTTTAACCACAGCTCTTTCCTCAAGTATTTATTTAATACTAAGAGATATTTTGGGTTTAAAGGTTATTTAGGACTGATATTCTTGTAAAAATGTATTTAGCAATAAAAATGTTTGAAGACAATATTTCTGTATAAATAAATGCCAAAAACATTATAGTGATTAAGTAATTTTTACAATCCTGTATTATTATTTTTTTTTTTACTACATTTACACTAAGGACTCTTTTGTATTGCTCATCAACCCTTTTGTCTTACCCTGCTGAGAGCCAGGAGGAAGTCCATCCCACCAGACCTCTTCACACAGTGTCTCAGTTTCCAGTACACCAGGTGCTCCCAGGCAAAAACGAGAAGACTGAGGCCCATGGCCACCAGCAGCATGTAGAAAACACCTGCCATGTTGTCAATGTCCAACTTGCTACTCATCACCTGTCAGGGAAAAATAAAGTATACATAACTGCAAGAATAAAATTATTATTTCAAACAAGGCACAATTTATCTCTGCCATTTTTATTCATGACTTGGTCACAGAGGCAACAGATCGAGGAGGAAAACCAGACATTTCTTTCCAGCATTACTCCAGCTCCTCTGGGGGAATCTAAAGATTTTCCCAGTCCAGAGGGTATGGTTGTGCCAAGATAACCCCAAGAAGGAGAAGTCCATATGGGTGTCATGATCAACGGCCCCCGCTGGCCCCCCATCTGCTCACTTCACCTCTCTGGGCTCGAGGGCTCCTTGACTAATCTGGACATTCAAATGCAGCTCATGTTGACAATGCTCCGTGCCAAGTTTTTCACACCCACCCCAGAGACCCTTCCTAACCCATCGTCTGCTGCAGCTCTGACCCCATCGCCTGCTGCAGCTCTGACCCCATCGCCCGCCACAGACCCCAAGGCCTCCACGTCGCCCGCCGCAGATCCACAGCCATCTACGCCGCCCACCGCAGATCCACAGCCATCCATGCCACCTGTCGCAGATCCACAGCCATTCATGCCACCTGTCGCAGATCCACAGCCATCCATGTCACCTGCTGCAAATCTAGCCCCATCTCGAGGTCTTGGAGGGTCGACCGGCCTTTTTCCCTGGATATTGCTAATTGTCGGACGACCTCCTGGCCGCCCACCCGAGGCCTGTAAGAGCTCTGGACGGCAGTTCTGGCTACCAATCTATTTCATACCCTCCTCCAAGACCCCCTCCACCCACCCGACTCTTGCTAGTTCTTTGCTGGTAGGTCCGTCAAGATGTCAGACCTTAAAGGGGGGGGCTATGTCATGATCAGCGGCCCCCACTGGCCCCCCATCTGCTCACTTCTCTGCCCCTTCATGACATGCCATGTTTTATGCCCTTCTGATCATAGTTTCTGTTCATGTTTATTATTCTCATCTCCTGTCAACCTGCACCTCTGCCTGCTCACTTAACCACACCCACTCTGAGTCACTGCAATCAACCTTCATGCCTCTCACCTGTTCATGTCTCTATTTAAGCACCATTCTCCCTCTCCACCAGAGCGAGATTATTACACCTTCCATGGTCCCTGATTTTCAAGCCTTCATACTTTCATGTCTGAACCTCAAGCCTTGTTTATTGGATTTTCGACCTCACGCCTTGCCTTCTGGATTTCCCGTTTTTTGCCTGCTCCTCATTTGGTTTTGTTCTACCTCTCTGATCACGCTGCTCTGCACAGGACCAGTGACGTCATTGTTGCAGTATTGACAGGTGACTCTCACTCCATCTGCCTGTGAAGACCTGCTAACACTCAGCTGATCCTGACTTTGCACCCACAGCCTATAATAAATAAATTATGTACTTGTTTTTGCACTCTTGTCTGGCTATTTTGAATCCAAAACACTGGTTTGTGACAAAGGGACCCTAATCAAATGGCCAAACCACTGTAGCTGATGCTTTTAAGTAGCAGGTTGACTTTGAGCTTTGCTTGGATGATGCAGCACTTCATCACAGTTCCAAGACTGACCCCAAGTAACCTTTGGAGGATGATCCATGTCCCCATGATAACAGGTGAGGGTTGGGACATTCAGCTGATGGACTAGTGAAATGTTGCCTTTTGACTCAACTTTTTAAATCACCATGCCAGACCGGAAGAACGTCCTCATTAAAAGACTTACCCACCCCAGAGCATTTGACCTTATTCTGTTTAATAGAGGATACTTGTTTTAGTGTTTTGTCTTCCAACCATCCATCCATCATCCATTATCTTCCACTTATTCTGAAGTCGGGTCTCGGGGGCAGCAGCTTGAGCAGGGAGGCCCGGACATCTCTTTCCACAGCCAGCTCTTCACGGAGGACCCCAAAGCATTCCCAGGACAACCGAGACATAGTCCCTCCAGTGTGTCCTGGGTCTTCCCCAGGGTCTCCTCCCAGTCGGACATGCCCAAAGCACCTCCCTAGGGAAGTGCGCAGTAAGCAACCTTGCCAAATGCCCGTATCACCTCAACTGTCTCCTCTCGATGAGGAGAAGCAGCGTTTCTACTCCAAGTCTCTCCTGCATAATTAAACTTCTCACCCTATCTCTTGGGGAGAGTTCAGCTACCCTGCAGAGGAAAGTCATTTGAACCACCTGTATCTGCATTCTTGTTCTTTCTGTCAATATCCAGAGGTCATGGCCATAGGTGAGGGTAGGAAAGTAGAGCTTTGCCCTACACCTCAGTTTCCCTTTTACCACAACATACTGGCACAGTCTGCAATACTGCAGATGCGTCCCCATTATTTCTGTCAATCTCATGCTCCATTCTTCACTCACTCGTGAACAAAACTCCAAGATACTTGAACTCCACTTGAGGCAGAACCTCAACCTCGACCTGAAGAAAGCAATCCACCCTTTTCCAAATGAGGACCATGGTCTCAGATTTGGAGGTGCTGATCTTGTCTCAGTCTTCTTTTGTCTTCCAAGATGATAATAATTTGGGGAAAGAGCATCAGCAAATTTCTGAGGAAGTGCTTAGTTTAATATTATATCACAATTATGTAGGTTGGAGACATATAAAGTACGTACATACACTTATCTTACTGCATAAGCAACCAATTTTGTTGTGTAGTTTAAAGTGTGATCTAAAAAATAAAATAAAATGGGGGACTCGTACCTCAATTTTATCATTGTGGCAGATTCCAGACAACCAAAGGCGCTCCAACATATCAATTTCATCTGAAAGAAATCAGGGAAAGAGAAAGAGACAAGGAAAAGAAAGTCAAAATGGAGTGAAGATGAGGAAAAACTTTTTTTTCTCCCCCAGGAAAGAGAGAAACATGTTTAAAAGGGAAGAGTTGAATAATAATAAAAAAAAAAAAAAAATAGACAGAAAGAAATCAACAACTAGGGGCGTGAGTTCAAGCAGTAAGTGACAAAGTGAGAGAAAACAATGCAAAGGGGATTAACAACTCTTTGTCATGAGATCAATGTGTTTAAAAGGCCTATGGAAGAAGGAAGGTGTCAGGAAAAAGGCTAGAGAGAAAAGGAGGGAGCATTGTCTTGATAACAAAGGAAACGAGAAGTGATGATGAAATTTAGACTAGTCGAGAGAAAGTTTCTTTTAAGAAAAACAAAATTCACGGGAATAAAAGAAATGTAATGAAATATTTAGGAAGATGGACAGAAAGTTGTGGAGCAACCACAGAACAACGAGACAGAAAGGTGTAGCAAAACATAAAACTTTAATGGACATATGGAAAAAAAATAAAAGTTTTAAGATTGGAAAGAGAAATTGGGAATTAGAGGCAGTGACTAGAGGAGAGAGGAGCCCTTTGAAGCAGATTTTGAAATGGCTTGGTATCTGAGCCGAGGTGCGCTGAGGGCAGAGTGATGCGACAGCACATCGGAGATGAAAGGAGGGAAACACAAGCGTTACATTTCCTGCTCAAACCATCTGAAACACACAAATGTGATGCACACTCTGAACCTCGGTGTAATGGGACTCTCAATGTTGGCCATTAATGCATTAATCAAAAAGAATGAGGCTGCTGGAAGGGAATCAAGGCTTTTCCTTTCCATGTGCTGAGGAGCTTATTTAGACAGATGTGCATGACTGGGTGGGAGTGGGTGTTTAAATCAAGTATACGGCCTTAAACATACTCAAAATCCATCACTGTACACTGTCTGAAGATGCCCCAGTTAAAAGGAGATCCCATTCCCAATCATAAACTGACATTTGTGTTAATTAGCGCTGTCTGGAAACCCCTTCATGAAGCAGTGTCACATGGATTAAACTGCCACGACTCGGCAGTGTTGAATCAAACGTCAAATCCTCTCAAACAAAACACAAATCGAACTTCAACACAAGTCAAACTTCAATACAAATCTAAGAGCCAAATTTGACATTGAAAAGCTACTTAGAAAATCAAACATCAACTAAATTAAAAACATGCTAAAAGTGTATACAAGGGCTATTCAACTAAACTGCTCAAGGGCTGCTGTTACTGAAAGCCAAGAACTCAGGGGCCGGGCATCCAGCAGTTATTGTCATTAAGTAAGTTTCTTTTATGGTTTAAAATATATTCATCCATCCATCCATTATCTTCCAATTGTTCTGAAGTCAGGTCTTGGGGGCAGCAACTTGAGCAGGGAGGTCCAGACATCTCTTTCCACAGTCACCTCTTCCAAATCTTCTAGGAGGACTCCAAGGCGTTCCCAGGCCAACAAAGAGACGTAATATCTGCAGTGTGTCCTGGGTCTTCCCTGGGGTCTCCTCCCAGTCAGACATGCCAAAACACCTCCCTAGGGAGGTGCCCAGGAAGCATCCTTACCAGATGCCCGAACCACCTCAACTGGCTTCTCTCCATGTGGAGGAGCAGCGGTTCTACTCCGTGTCTCTCTTGGATGACTGAACTTCTCAACCTCACTCTAAAGGGAGAATCCATCTGCCCTGCAGAGGAAACCAATTTCAACTGCCTGTATCCACGATCTCATTCTTACAGTCACTACCTAGAGTTTGTGACCAGAGGTGAGGGTAGGAACGGAGTCTGCAGTACTGCAGACACCAACTTAAAATCTTGTTTTATGTTTTTTGCCAACTACTTCCTTGTTTGCTGATAGACCAGGAACCAGTCAAATCCAAAAAGCAGGAAACCAGTTCTCATGAATCCAATTATACAGTATATGCCTATATGGGAACATACAATGATGACATAGCAATTACTTTCAACATGTCACTGCGTGAGTGCAGCTACAGCGTGTGCTCCCAGGACATTATTACTCGCAGTGTACGCTCAGTTAGGACCAAACTAGGCAAAATGGCCTTCTCCTACTCTGCTTCTGTAACACCAAAAGATCTGAAGCTCTCAACCTTGACCTCTCTAAGTGACTTCAAACATCTGAGTTCATGGAATAAACCAACACAGACATGTTCCTCCTTTTAGTATTTTATTTCGCTTTACAATGTAGCTGTATTTCTTTGTTATTTTTAATATAATTTTGTCCATTTACTTTTCATTTTATGCTTTTTTTATTTTTATTGTCTACTACTGTCATCTGTGTTCTTTGTTTAAAACAAGTCTCTCTTGTAAATGAGTCCTCGAGGCTCAGTGAAACTAACTTGTATAAATAAAAGGTTGAATGAATAGCAGGCATGTACCCTGTACGTAACAGGTACATACATAGCTGTATGA